CAGACGCTGCCTTTATCGACTGAGCTACGACATGGTCAAAAGTGTTGAAACCGAAGTTCTACTGAACTTACTGGTGCATCAAGTTCCTTACGTGATGCATCACGCTATTGTGATTTCTGTGTGTAGTTGGTGACATGTTGCTGCTGTAGTGGGAGGGAGGAACACAAACGGTTGAGCAGCTGTCATGCAGGACCAAACACCTGCGATACGAGGCTTGCCAGATGTTCACTGTGCACTTGTGGTGAACAGGGGTTTATTGAGGTGTTGGCGAGGGGGTGATACCAGCAGTGCCAGACTTACCTGGGCTACGCTTCATCAAGCATATACACAACACCTTACGAAACCTGTTCATCTTTCCCTAATGATGGCGTCTTTGTTTACACATATCAGTTAGCTAGCTTCGACACGTTCCAACCCAAGGTTATTATTGCTAGAAACAGCTTCGTTGTGGCTTCGGAGCTCATAAACTGTTTGATAAATGTAAACAAAGTCGCCATGATTGAGAAAAGATGTACAAGTTTTGCAAATGTTTGTGTTAAGGTCGTGAGGGGCACCTTGGTATCCACCGAGTTGTTCTCACCTAGTTGTGCTTGCGGGGGTTGAGCTCTGGCTCTTTGGTCCCGCCTCTCAACTGTCAATAAACTGATATACAGATTCCTGAGCCTACTGAGCTCTATCATATCTACATTTGAAACTATGTATGGAGTCAGCCTCCACCACATCACTGCCTAATGCATTCCAGCTGTTAATTATTCTGATTATAGACTCGACACCTGTGTCAAATTATCCCGGCCTATACTCAAGGCCGCTTCACCGTATAGGCCTACTGCTGAGATGTCCTAGAAGTCATGCACTCTTTACAAATCAGTGATTTAGCGAGATAGAAGCATCACTCCGTCATTCCGTTGTTTTATGGAAGTAATTGAAGATTAGTGGCTGCGTAGATTAGCAGATTCATTTGAAGAACAGATAAGGCAAGCCTACCGTCTGTTGAAGAACAAATGAGGCAAGCACACCGTCAGTTGAAGAACAGATAAGCCAGAAGAACACCTGCTCCCAAAGAGCCAGACACGCCCTCGATGCTGTGTCAGCTCACCGGCCAATACTCGTGATGCGATACTGGACATTTCCGCTCCATTTAAGATAAGTCAGTCTCTCTCTCTCTCTCTCTCTCTCTCTCTCTCTCTCTCTCTCTCTCTCTCTCTCTCTCTCTCTCTCTCTCTCTCTCTCTCTCTCTCTCTCTCTCTCTCTCTCTCTCTCTCATCAACATGACTATCAACATAGCAACAACATGAACGTGAGCATAACAGCCGTAACAACGACGCCTCCCACAAGGTCAACAACATGAACATGACCTGGAGGTCGACGGCTCTCATAGCAACCATACCCCTCCCTCACCCTGTCCCTCACCCTGTCCCTCACCCTGTCCCTCACCCTGTCCCTCACCCTGTCCCTCACCCTGTCCCTCACCCTGTCCCTCACCCTGTTCCTCACCCTGTTCTTTATCCTATCCCCCTCCTCAACTCTTCTCTCTGTTCCTTCCCCCCCCCGTCCCATCCCAAATCCTTATCCTGACCTCTTCCAAGTGCTATATAGTCGTAATGGCTTGGCGCTTTCCCCTGATAGTTCCCTTCCCTTCCCTCTCCCCTATTCCTCACCCTCTCACTCATCATCTCTCACCCCTTTCTCTCAATCTCTATTCCTCTCCCTCACCTCTTCTGAGACAACTGGACCTTACCATACTGAAGGAAAGGACAGACAGCGAGAGACATGATAACAACATATAAGATTCCTAGGGAAATTGATAAGGTAGACAAAAAAGCCTTGTTCAAAGCTAGGAACAGCAGAACGAGGGGGCCATAGATGGGTACTGGAGACTCAAATGAGACGAGGACGTCAGAAGAAACTGTTTCAGTGTTAGACCTGTCAAATAAGTGAAACAAGTTAGACGTTAAGTCGTTGAAGCTAATTCGACTCAAAGTTTTAAATGTAAATATGATAAAAGTGTAAGAAATGAATCATTGCATTAATCTAAGGACGTTCGGAAGGCGGGGCCAGGAGCCTAGCTCGACCCTGCAAGTGCATCTACGTGAACACACACACACACACACACACACACACACACACACACACACACACACACACACACACACACACACACACACACACACACACACACACACACGTTATATAAGTATTAACATTTCATTAAAAACATGATAGTGTTTTGTCAACACTGACAGTGGTGGTAAAACCTTGTACCGCTTGTGAAGCGCCTCAAGTAACCACTGACGCTCCGAACCCTTGATCAGAGGCGGTGAAAGCCTCGTACTACCGTCAAGTAACAGCACAGTTACCAGTTACAAGGTTACGCGTTGACAGAATGAACCCAAGAAGTGTCGAAACATTGAACAGTTAACTACCTTCAGGTAGAGTGGCAGCTGTCTACTGAACCTTGGTCTCAGGTTGGCAGAACAGGAGAAAGCTCTGATAGGAACTTTATCACACCCTGGACCACCTTCCGAGGGCTCCTGTCTCGATCTCTGTCTGCCTCGAACCCAATCCATCCACTTGGACTGGTGGGTACCGCAGCGGCTTCGTTTCCTGCAGGTCCGTGTTCGATTTCAGGTGATCCAAGTGGCTAGACACCAGTCATTAATTCCTTCCTCATATCTCAGCTCCTTATCCCTCGCATCCCTTCTAGGTACCATGTTGTCATATTGGCTAAGCGCTTTCTCCTCATAATTACCTCATATGCCTCAAACCCAGGATCACAATTTCTCCTTCTGTCGAGCCGCACCAGCGTGCGAGGAAGGCTTCTGTCGAGCCGCACCAGCGTGCGAGGAAGGCTTCTGTCGAGCCGCACCAGCGTGCGAGGAAGGCTTCTGTCGAGCCGCACCAGCGTGCGAGGAAGGCTTCTGTCGAGCCGCACCAGCGTGCGAGGAAGGCTTCTGTCGAGCCGCACCAGCGTGCGAGGAAGGCTTCTGTCGAGCCGCACCAGCGTGCGAGGAAGGCTTCTGTCGAGCCGCACCAGCGTGCGAGGAAGGCTTCTGTCGAGCCGCACCAGCGTGCGAGGAAGGCTTCTGTCGAGCCGCACCAGCGTGCGAGGAAGGCTTCTGTCGAGCCGCACCAGCGTGCGAGGAAGGCTTCTGTCGAGCCGCACCAGCGTGCGAGGAAGGCTTCTGTCGAGCCGCACCAGCGTGCGAGGAAGGCTTCTGTCGAGCCGCACCAGCGTGCGAGGAAGGCTTCTGTCGAGCCGCACCAGCGTGCGAGGAAGGCTTCTGTCGAGCCGCACCAGCGTGCGAGGAAGGCGACTTTTTATTCCTATTTTTTATTTATTATTCCTATCCTCCCATTATCAGGATAAAGTGCTTAGCCAATATAACAAAATAACACTTGAGGAGGGTATAAGAACAGGGCACTGATGTAAAGGAACGGAGTGAAGGAACATGCCCAACCCCTTCGACCATTGGCGATCGAACGCCGACCCGGGAGGAAGCGGAGTTAGACGCTTACATGGGTATGTTCATTCACGGTTAGACTCGGTTATAAACGCGAGGCAAAAGGAGCAACACAATTGGGCAGTTGCCCGAAACGCTATGCGTGCTAGTGGCTTTACAAGAATGTGAAATCGACTTAATTTCTATGTTCTCTCTTAACCCCCAATGTACCTTCTTGTATATAAATAAATAAAAGTTACAATTAGACACAGTCACGACAAGTCAGAGATGGCAATGGTTGAGTTGAGAACAGGATCAAACGCTATTAGATAAGGATAAAGTAAGCTCTCTGTTACCACAATGACTGGCCCTCCGCTACTGGCCCTCCGCTACTGGCCCTCCGCTACTGGCCCTCCGCTACTGGCCCTCCGCTACTGGCCCTCCGCTACTGGCCCTCCGCTACTGGCCCTCCGCTACTCCTCCAACATATGCCACCATCACCTGGTGATCCAGGAAGAGAGGGGAAGCCAGGGATGGAGGAGGGGTTGGTGGGGGTTGTGGGGGGGATGTGTTGGGGGGTGTTAGGGGGAGGGGTGGTGATGTTGTGAGAGGGGTGAGGGGGGGGGCAAGGTGTGCCGGATATGGCAGTCAATCCACAACTGGCCCCACTAGTTTTTTCTCTTATTTAGCTCCCAGCGTCTGCGCCTGTTGGTTCCGGCTTTGTGTCTGTATATCTATATATTCATTGTCTGAATTTGTGTGTAATTTGTGTAAAATTTACATCTACTGTTAGAAGCTTTGTAAAAATAAGTAATTGTGTACTTTTTAGGTATTTTGAATGTATTTGTGTATAAATGTAGGATTGTATTTTTATTTGTTTAAACCAGGGTTACCACTGAGTATAATCATTACCACCACTGTCACCACTACCAAGGCTACCACTTACTGTCACGTGACCACTACCACTAATTCCACCAATTCCCCCCGATAGACAGAGAGAGAGAAAGACAGAGAGAGAGAAAGACAGAGAGAGAGAGAGAGAGAGCAGGAGTTGAACTCTAAAAGCCACTTGTCAGTCATTCTTATTGTCAAGGTCGTCCTGCTGCAACTTGCAATCGTATATCGTGTCAATATTTATCGTTATTATTTTCTTAGTTTTGGAATATAAGTTTTTTATTTTTAATAATTTTATGATCACTGTTTCATTTCATCTCTCTATTAATGAGTGCAAATTATCCAATATACTCATCAGTTTACAGAGGCAAGCTTTCTCTCATCCTTACTCACTGAGTCAGAGCTCTCATAAGGTTATTCATCCGTCCAACCTCTCCTTCCATTCTTACTCAAGGAGTCATTCAACTGCTTTTACTGAGTACCTCATTCAGCCATCTTTACTTGATGAATTACTCATCCACCTATCATTACTGAAGCATTCATAGGTGCCTCTTTACTCACTCTGACTCGTTACCGAGTCATTCATAAACCCACCCTTACCGTGAATACTACTGACGCATTCATCGACCTTTCCTTACTCACCGTGAGCCACTTCCTTCCCGCCAGATCTTCTTGCGCCGCGACTCACGCCACGCTCGCAAGTTGACTAAATTGGCAGCGGCCATTGAAGAGGAGACTAACAACCCAACCAGTGCCGCCCCCAATCACCACCACCACCATCACCACAACGGTACTAGCCACCATCACCACCATCACCACCACCTCCCGCACGCCCACATTAATGGCCAGCTCGACCATAAGGAGACTTCTGGCAAGCAACTGGTGGACGACCAAGGAGACAAGCAGGTATGCTTTGGTGTCAGGTGTGTCAAGGTGTCAGGTGTGTCCTGGTGACAGGTGTGTCAAGGTGTCAGCTGTGTTTTGGTGTCAGGTAGTGTCGTGAGAGTGGTGTCTGTGGTTGTCTGATTACTGGTTACATGATGTTTTTGCGATTATCTGCTGAAAGGTCACTACAAGTTCTTGGTTATCGAATGGATCTTTCCGTCGTGTTTATGCACTCCGGTTAGATCGCTGTGTGGTGGGTCTCCTCTGTATGTTCATTAGTATCGAACTTCACATTCACAGATTTGTCGTGGCACTAAGCAAAAAATATATTTTTTCCACAGGCAGGTAGACGATTTTTTATTCCTATTAGCAGGCTGAGAGCTTTCTCTTCCCATAGATCACGGTTAGCAGTACCTTATTAGTTCTATCTTTAACACGACCTGTCAGTCTGATTACAGTCAGGTCCTCAATTATTGCTGGGCGAACAGAGGCGAATAGTTATGAATTGATTGGACGCCAATCCTTAGCCTGGTTATAAACTCATTGGCTGGTCGTGTTCCAGGGAAGCTAGCAGGGTATGGCTTAACATGTGGTATGGGAACAGAAAATTGCAAGTCTGCTAACACGACTCGGAAGTCGTTCTAATGAGAGATGTTTGGATAACTTCAGTTAAATTTTAGCTAATTTTCCTTTTGCTTCAGCTGCAGGAGTCTGCTCGGTGTTCCGTGTACTCAGTGACGGCGTCCGGGACATCGGTGGAGAGCAAGGGGAAGCCAGGAGTTCTCTCCCCCAAGAGTCGCTGGGCGGAGACCGGCGTGGATAATCCGGTCTTCGCTGGTGACTTCGACGCGGCTGCCTGGAACCCGGCACTCAAGGAGGCCATCATCAGTGGCACTCAGGTGGGTCGGTGAGTGATGTCGGGAGTGGTGGTGAGTGGGTGACGTCGTGAATGTATTGATGTCGGGAGTGGTGGTGAGTGGGTGACGTCGTGAATGTATTGATGTCGTGAGTGGTGGTGAGTGGGTGACGTCGTGAATGTATTGATGTCGTGAGTGTTGGTGAGTTGGTGACGTCGTGAATGTATTGATGTCGTGAGTGGTTTGATGGCGAGTTGGTGAAGCGGTACTTAATTACCTGTGTGTGCTTGAGGGGGGTTGAGCTACGGCTCTTTGGTCCCGCCTTTCAACCGTCAATCAACTCGTTTACAGGCTCCTAAGATAGTTGGGCTTTATCATATCTACATCTGAATCTGTGTATGGTGTCTGCCTCCACCTCATCAACATGGAGGCAGACTCCATACACAGTTTCACTAACCTGTCACCAAGCCGAGAATTGCTTGTTACGCGTTAATGAGGCAATTATGTGTTGGGGAGATAGACCTTAGATAACATCCTCGGCCAGGGTTCATCAACCCCCTGACGAAACCTGTAGATCTTACCTCAATCATATTGGCTTTGTTTACATTTATTTAAAAAATGTATGAGCTCTGAAGCACTGCGAACATTACTACGAAAGATGTACAGATTTCGTAAATGATTGCGTAAATGTTTGATGCGTCCTGACCCTGGGAGTACTAGATAGAGGCTAGTGGATAATGAACGAGTAAATAGGAACTGCAGAGGTCGGTATACAGGTAGACTGTAGGTCGGTATACAAGTAAACTGTGAACGCGTTAACAGCAAGACAACATATGTGAAAGTCTTCCCGAGTGAGAGACGAACGAGTGATAATTCGTGAGACAACACCGGTAATACCAATGACAAACACGTGGCTTTTTGTCCCCGAGATTATTCTCGGGGAATTATGTTTGGAGAAATTTAGTGTTGTCCATAACCTTTTTTATTTTAATATACGAGAAAACAAAACAAGAAAACAAGTTCAAGGTGACGCCAACAATCGCCATTGAGATATAGGGAAGCATATAGTCAGTATGAGAGAGGGGAATAAATGGTTGTACTCAACCATTTATTCAGAGCACACAGTACAGTGTCAACCACACCGCACTGTACTGTGTGCTCAAAGACGGTACCTGAGCACACAGTTAGTTAAAAATACCCACGTACTGAGCTTACTGTCCCACAGCCCCGCTCCTGCGCCAGGTAAGTCCACTACGGGCTCACCATAGTCCGTGCTACTTGGAACTGTTTGTTCCTGGTAGCTGAATCTTAAACAACATGAGTTTAGTGTCAGTCGTGTAGTTACTGCTAAAGTTTGATCACTTTGCTCGTCTCTAAATCAGCAAAAATCACGATGTTCAGGACCTGTGACCTGAACATGGTGGTCCTTATAACACTTGAGAACCGTCTACTTCCTGCCTTAGACGTTCACGGACGAAGTTCTAATCAGTGACCCTTGTTCCTTCCTCAGGTGACCCCGTCAGAGCTCCAGGGAACGGGTCGGGGGCCCGTCGTGGCCCCTGAGGCGCCACAAGGGGGCCACCATCACCATGGGGGGCACCAGCATGCGGGCCATGGCCACTCCCACCTGGGCATCTCTAAGCTGGGCAGCAAGGGCATCGCTTTCAACTTGCGTTCCCTCCTGGTCATCCTCGCACTCTCCTTCCACTCCGTCTTTGAGGTGAGTGGAGTGTGTGTTGAGGGGGAGTAAAGTATGTGCGTGTTGAAGGGGGAGTAAAGTGCTTCTTGAGGGTGGAGTAAAGTGCTTCTTGAGGGGGGAAGAATAGTGTGTTAAGGCGGCAGTAGAATGTGTTTATTGGGAAGTAGAGTGTGCTGAGGGTGGAGGGGGGGGGGGAGAGTGTATTGAGGGGGAAGTAAAGTGTGTTGAGGGGGGGGGGAGAAGAGTGTGTGTTGCAGGTGGGGAGGGGGAAGGAAGGTGCTTGAGGAGCGCGTGTGTGTGTGTGTGTGTGTGTGTGTGTGTGTGTGTGTATGTCAGTATATTTAATTAAAAGCCTCGTTCATGAATTTCATAAATACAAATTTATGAATTAATGTAATATGAGGTCTCTTTTTAACACACACACACACACACACACACACACACACACACACACACACACACACACACACGTTCAGCATGAGAAAAGACGGATCCAGTCACTAGCCAACAAAAGAACAACCCGGTCTCTCCAGAATAGCCTCGTCCTGTCACCGTCTTTTATCCCACGTCAGGGGCTGGCTGTCGGCCTGCAGGAGAATGACACGGACGTGTGGTACCTGCTGCTGGCCATCTGCGCTCACAAGTTCGTCATCGCCTTCTGTGTGGGACTGGAGCTGCTGGCTGGAGGCACATCGGCCGGCCTGATGGTGGTGTACATGGTAGTCTTCGCTCTCGTCTCCCCGCTAGGCATCGCTATTGGCATCGTCGTGACGGAGAATTTGTCGTCGGAGGAAGAGGGCCACCTTGTCGCAGTCACCATCCTGCAGGGTCTGGCAGGAGGGACTATTCTCTACGTGACCTTCTTCGAGGTAAATCTTTCTGGTGGCGGGTAGGAGGATGGTTCAAGGAACACAGGGGGAAGTATAGGGGAAGGGACATGTCACAGACATTCTCAGATCTCACTAATTGACCTTTAATGATGATCCCAGACACACCTTAGTCGACTATGGCACGACATGGCATTAACCTTTAATGAGCTCTTACATGTGTTCACATTATTATGGGACAGGAGGGCCTGAGAACTCCTGTCTGGCATGCGTTGTCTTGGAAGGGTTGTTAGGTAAATGATACTGAGGCTTTGACCCTAAACATTAACTCGGATCGCCGGCCCCTTGGGCTGTAATTTGAACAATTAAATTTGGCGCATTAATTCATTTGACCCATTGACTGGAGCATTTATCATTTGTAACATTTGCCCGAACAAACTCAATTATACAGTTGCAGCCCATCAGTTTGACAACCAACCCGTCCTCAGGTCAGGCTCATTCGTGTAACTTCCGTCCCCAGTCACGCATTCGTAAATTTTAACGTTACTATGCATTAAAAATAGGTTTGTTCTCATATAAAAATTTAGGTTATGTTAAATGTTTAGGTTCTGTTGGCGATTATTTGTGATTGTAGTACGTGTGCTAGGTCTATAGCAACGTATTGTATTGTATTGTAAATAGGTACAACGTATTGTGACGTATTGTTAATAGCAACGTATTTACAGCGTTGTGGCTCGAGCAGAGGTCCTCAACGACGCACTGTTTGAGAAACGTACACACGTCATCAGTTGAGTCGTGTGCAAACCGTTTTTCATTCATAAACAGAGCGTCTGACGGCTGGATTAACGAGCATTTGGCCTTTGTTGATGAGGACGGGCTGTGAAAACTTATTTTCTGAACTACTCGCTCAAACATTAATCTTCTGAATCACTGGCTGCGTCATTGATACCTTGAACTTTGATCAAATGAACCAGTTTCCCGAGCATTGTATATTAACTGGTCGAACAGTGACATTTGAGCTATCAGAGCCGTATTCATCGAACAATTTGCATGGAAAACCTTGGGTAAGGCTGTGGACATTTAACCATCGGCTGGAACATTGATGCAGGCGATGAGTCACATTAACGTGGCTGAAGTATGTTGACCACACCACACACTAGAAGGTGAAGGGACGACGACGTTTCGGTCCGTCCAGGACCATTCTCAAGTCGATTGTCATGTCGACTTGAGAATGGTCCAGGACGGACCGAAACGTCGTCGTCCCTTCACCTTCTAGTGAGTGGTCTGGAACATTGATGATTTAAACCAGTGACTGGAGCATTTGGTAACTTGAACAATTGCCTCGGTCATTGATCATCGAATTATTGGCTCAAGCCTGACCGCTCATACAATTGACAG